TATGATTTGCATGATGGTTGACGGGCCGTTAAGGCTGGGGAGTCCTCATAAGTTTGGGGAACCCCAGTGCTTTGTTTTATTTTGGTTTTGCATGGAGAAGTAAGACCCTTCTATAAATTTAGGGGGTCTGATTACTCTGAAGGCTGGGATGTCCCCATAAGTTTGGGGAGACCCAGTGATATGGTTTGCATGGAGGGTCAGGCTGTTCTGTAAATTCAGGTGGCCTGATTGCTCTGACCAGCGAGGGGTTTGATTGTGCTTAATTTTTCAAGGACTCAGGGCGCTCAATAAGTTTTGGTGTCTTGAGTTGCTTTGTTTTCACTGGGATTTTACTTGTTTCTTTGGTTTCTGAACGAGGAGTTGAGCTGTTCTGTAAGTTCAGGTGACTCAGTCTCTTCCTGCTCTTTATTCTGAAGAATTAATCTTGGAAAAGAGGCAGACCCTTCTGTAAGTTCAGGGGGTTTGACTCGATGCCACACACATAATGGCTCAGATAGAAACGAATCTAGCAGAGAGTTAAGACCATTCTGTAAGTTCAGGGGGTCTGGCTCAAAGCCTCGCACATGCTGGAACCCAATGGTTATAACTTGGATATATTTTATTACTACTCTATCTAAGAAAGAGCTAATCAGACTGTTCTATAAGTTTAGGTGGTCTGATTATAGCCGTATCACAACTTGAAGAGAGTACAACTAATAATAGAATTGATGGTGAACTGGGGCAGGCTGAACTTAAGTTAGTTCAGTCATATGCAGCCTTAGAAGGCAAAGGTAAAGATAAGTATATATAACTTGGATACTTTAAACATTCCAGGGCGACTAGAGTGGTCTAGCCATGTGCCCAAAGAAGAGAAAAGTAGTTGTGCCCTCTGTTTGTGTATATTTGGCCAAGTCAGAACGCTTTATAAGTTTAGGTATTCTGACTCTAGGCCTGGCTAAATTGAGCTGTTCTGTAAGTTCAGGCGGCCTGACCTATGCCTTATGTAAGCCGGGTATAAAGGGTTAAATCATTGAGAGATCATGAACAATTGTTTGTCGAGGTTGACTTTGGGATGGTGAGAGTACTTACCCTTGTGGTTTGGCCTGCATGTGACTGAGTGAGGCTACTACTTAGTCTGAGTTTCAGTTTGATAGGTAGTTGCTTTCGTCGCTTGCCACGTGCTAGAGCCATAGGAGTTAGTTTCAATTCCTGCATTTTCTGAGCTAAGTTTTTTTTCACTTAGGTCAATTCTCGCATTTTCTGGGATCTTTTCTTATACTTGGCTTTGTATAAATCTTGGCAGACCACTTTCTCTACGGGAAGCGCTGCCGAAATTTCTACAAACTCAAAGAGTTAGTCAAATCTTGTCTTGTCCAAACTTGACTTGTCTTTCTGACTTAGTAAAAATATGGGAAGTCTGTCTTTTCAAAGGGAGTGCTGCCCAAATTTTTGCTAATTCAGGGAGTCAGTCAAAAGTTTGGCTTGTCAAAGCTTGACTTGTTTTTTCATTATATCTGGGTCAGTAAAATCTGGAAAGCCTCCTTTTCTAAAGGGAGTGCTGCCCAAATTTTTACTAATTCGGGGAGTTAGTCAAGTTTTCGACTTCTCAAAAGTTCAACTTGTCTAGATTTCATATATGGCTTAGTAAAATTATGGGAAGCCTCTTTTTCTAAAGGGAGTGCTGCCAAAAATTTTGCTAATTCACGGGGTTAGACAAAATTGGACTTTGGAGAGTCAAGGGTTATTTCTGATTTCATATTTTGGCTTATATAAATTCTGAGAGGACACTTTTCCTACGGGAAGCGCTGCCGAAATTTTTCCCTGTTTTCAGAGGAGTTAAATTATTTTCGACAGGTAGCGCTAGAGGGTGTTATATGGAGGTGTGCTATGGAGGTTTATTTCCCATATGCTGATAATTTAGCTTAGGCATTTGACCTATCTTATGTTACAGGTCCTTTGGGTTGTCTGATTCAAGGTCAGGACGAGATTCAGCTTGATCCYTTGAGGATCCTTATCTGTTATCACTGATAACAGGTCGTTTGCCGATCCGTCGGTTTACGACTTAATTCCGACTCACCCTCCACACTCAACCTAAAAGGTTTTAGCCCTGGTGATTTTTATTGTTTCATTAAGGTTTCACTCGGACTTTTATTGAATGACCATTTAACAAAGGTACTGAGTATTTAATTAAGGTGTGGTTGGACAGGAGGTTGGGGCTTGCATGGCTAAAGCAAGGGGTATGAGTGTTGAAGATGGTTGGGGTTGACTCCGTGTAGTGCGTGGGCTGTTGATTGACTCGTTGATGTGATTCGCAGGTATGTGCTATGAATCAGATTCTGGATGTGGTTGCCTGCGATCACGTATATACGTATGGCTGTGAGGGACCCCAATRAGACTGTGAGAAGTGATCGTCACATACTTCCCCCTGTTATATATGCATATATATGAGTATACTTGGGATGAATACTTGCATTGGCTAAACGGCCCCCGTACTAAAAAGGCCTGCTCAGGGGTTGAGACTAAAAGGCCTAGGGAAGACCCTTCCTTTTATTGGTTTTACTTCTTAAGGATTTTTTCTTAGTCGGACGTTGGTCCTGGGCCGGGATTCGAGGTCCTTGTCCAGGACATCCCAAGCCCTAGGCTCTGCAGGGAAGGGGTTTTTCCTCGTGCAGAGCCTATTTGCCTTGCCTACCGAGACGCTCAGACCAAAGGCCGAAGGTCTCGTAGCGGTTGCACGACTATTCCTTCAGCCGTGCAATGTCGTGAAGGATCAGACCCTCACGACACTTCGAGTCKGACACTTGAGTGTCAKAAGCGGTGCTCGGATCCACGAGGGACCGCTTGATTATGGGCACTACATAGTACGCCATCGTTGCGACTGCATGCGTACGCCTGCGTAGCGGGGTGGTATGAGATAGGCCCTCGNCGAGGGACCGCTTGATTATGGGCACTACATAGTACGCCATCGTTGCGACTGCATGCGTACGCCTGCGTAGCGGGGTGGTATGAGATAGGCCCTCGACTGCGCGACTTTTTATTAAAATCCCGCGCGAGACGTTTTACCGCCCTAGTGTGTAAAAAGTTATGGGACTACAAAGGGACCGACACATATGGGCGAATGTTTGAGATTGCTATAGGCCGCCAACGCCGCGCGATAAAGGGAGGGTACCCTAGGGCCATGATTTTGTTTACTAGGCAAGGAACCTTCGGCCTATTCCTTATCTTTTGCTCTTTGGAGTTTTTATAGTTGGACGTTATAGTCCGTGGCAGTCGTAAAAGTCAAACCCCTTGATGTTCGACCGCCACGACAGCTTAAAGCTGTCTACTCAACCCCTCTGCACAGGCTGCAGAAGAGGGTGTGGTCTTCGACCGCGCATGGCGGTTGTCCAGCGTCGAGAGATTAACCCTCAAGGCGCGTGTCAGCCGACACTTGAGTGTCGAACGCGACCCTCGCGATTAACGGGGACCGCGTGGGCACATAGTACGCCTTCATTGCGACTGCTTGCGCACGTTTGCATTGCGAGTTGATATGCGATAACCCTGCGTCCGCACGGTTTTATATTAAGTCTCATGCGCGACGCTTATCCGATTTTCCGTATCAGGAAGTTATGGGGCGGCTACCGAGGGGCTAGGAGCGTTGTTGCGTTGTTTATATTGTGTTGCCTCGTATGTGTGTGTGGGGGTTTTATTTTTGTGTTCGTAAAGTGGTGTGCGCGTAGTGTGTGGGATGCGTCCTAGTCGACCGACGACGAGCCGCGCTTGGGACTTCAGCCCAACATGATGCCGGTTCGCGTGCGGGTCCGATTGAGGCTTATTACCACGCGTACCCCCTATGCTACAGCGAGCGAGAAACGCCCTCGGCTGGTCCACCTCTGCGATTGCAACCGATTAGCTTTCGTACTGTGGACTGGTAGCTCGGCGGGGATACGCCCACCGAAGGGAGGTGACAGCTCCCGTAAGGTGTAGGTAAGTTGTGCTTCACGTGAGCCCTATCTTGTCGTAGGGGCTTGCGAGAGGTATGGCTGGCGCACTCGGCCGGAGCGACTTTTTGGAAGCTCCATGTGTATTCGCGACGAAAGATTTAAAACCAACTCCTGCGTGATGCGGCTGGGAGGGTCCCGCGCTGCCCTGGTGCTGTGCCGGACCGATGCGCCCGACAGGTGGCGCCGTTGCCGGGGATAACGGAAAGCCTGTCGCTGTCCCTGGTGAAACGAGGGTATGAGAAGTGAATGAGAAAAGGCATAAAGGGATGATGAGAAGGTAACGAGAAAAATAATGAGTGACTAAGTGTAGATGAGAAGGTTTACCTGCCCGAGTTAGGGAAAATTATGAAGGGCGACTGTGCTAGTATTGAGTAAAGTATGTAGTAAGAGTTGGGTAAAGCGGGTGGAATAGACCGGTCAAGGTGTAATGTTGAATAAGGGAATGTGTTTGTTTTTCTCTTGTCAGGGAGCTTGAAAAGAAGAGGCTGTCAACTGGCGGCGCATCGGGCGCTCCCAAGAAGGGCCTGACGCTCGATGACCTCATCGTGGCCATTGACCGGCATGAAAGGAACCTGAGCAATATTCCTAAGGTCGACACGTTCCATTTTTGTGGAGAGAGAGTCTCAGAATGGCTGGACCGGGTGGAACAAGCTTTGGTCGGGCGGTCGGACGTTGTAAAGTTTCAACGCATCCTTCAGTATGACCTCCACAACTACACATCAAGAGGTGAAAGCATTTTCCCTTAGCCTATCGGACGTCGGAAAGGCCATGGATTTGGTGGCCTCACATGAGATGGTGGATCCGGATGCCATCCAGGCCTTGAGGGAGCAAGTTCTGGAATGCCCCGAGGCTGGGAGATTGGAGCTGGTATATCGTCTTCCGGACGGAAGGAGGAACCCCGCGTCCGCGCAGGCGCAATCTGTGAGTCGGCCTTTTTTAGGGGACGGCTCAAGCAGGGTTCCCAAAGGCTGTACAAGACGGTAGACAAAAAGTGCCGCCCGGTTCCCGTCCTCGTTACAGAGGACGAGGAAGCATATTACGAGAGGGAACGAAGGTTGATACGACGAATGAGGGAGAGTGCTTTAGCAGGACCATGTCGTATCAACGAAGGGAATGAAGGGGAGTTGATTATAGGGGAGTCCGACTTCCTATTGCCTCAGGAACGGACATTGATGGTGGAGTTGATGAAAAGGAGGCATCGCGCCTATGCGTTTACTGACGAGGAGCGTGACAGGCTGGATGTGGACAAAATACATATGATCCGCATCCACACTGTGCCACACGAGCCTTGGAACATTAGAGGGGCGCGATATCCTAATCCTGACGAGGAGAAGAAGGTGGTGGATTACCTCGACGGCAAGATACGTACGCACGTCGCCGATTATTCGAGTGGACCGTATGCGTCCCCGTGGTTCTGCTTCATCAAACCTAACGGGACGCTGCGGTGGGTGCAAGACTTGCAGAGGCTGAATGCGGTAACCGTGCGGGATGCTGGAGGACTGCCAAATGTGGATGCTCTGTCAGAATCCTGTGCTGGAAGGCTTATAATCTCACTTATAGACTTTTACTCAGGATATGATCAGTTTCCAGTCTACCCGCCGGATAGGCCGGTGACAGCTATGCACACGCCACGAGGATTAATCCACATGAACGTAGCCCCACAAGGGTGCACCAACGCGGTAGCAATGGTCCAACGAGTCATGATTCGTGTTATGCAGTCAGTCAGCCCTCATATCACACAACCATACATCGATGATTCGGCAGTGAAGGGGCCGGCAGTGAAGGAGAGCGACGAAGTCTCGCCAGGGGTAAGGCGCTTTGTTTGGAAGCATATCCAGGACCTCGATAAGGTACTGAGCCTGCTCGAGGAGCATAACTTCACAGCGAGCGGGGCCAAATCCAGACACTGCATGAGGGAAGCGACTATCTTGGGGTTTGTCTGCAGCGAGAGGGGCCGAAGGCCGAATGTAAAAAAGACGGACAAGATTACTGAGTGACCAGTTCCTTTCCACTCAATAACTGATGTCAGGAGCTTCCTTGGTACGTGTGGATTTTGGAGGGCCTTCGTCAAGAACTTCGCTACTAAGACTGAGCACCTGAGGAAGTTAGTCCGTTAGGATCAAGAGTGGGTTTGCGGTGAAGAGCAAGAAGAAGTAGTGGCCAGAATGAAAGAGGAATTTTGAGAGGGAGGGTTGGTGTTAGGAGCGCCAGATTATGATGCCACGGAAACGCGACCCTTCATTGTTGAAACAGATGCGGGGCCAACTGCCTTAGGAGGAGTTCTAATTTAGACAGACGTGGAAGGAAAGGAAAGACCCTTGCGATTTGAGAGTCAGACTCTCTGTACGACAGAAAGAAACTACTCTCAGTTCAAAAGGGAGACTCTTGCTGTCCTCCATTGTCTACGGATCTTCTGGAACTACATCTTCGGCATGAGGTTTATTTTGAGAGTGGACCCGACCGCCCTGGCCTACTCTCTGAGGAATTACGTTTCATCGGATCCTGGACCGCCCTGGCAGCAAGAACCGGGCAGACGGGCTAAGTCGGATCAACTGGGATAAACAGGAAGGGGAGGCGGTGGAGAATACGCCCCCAGTTTATGGATTTCTGGACCAGGAAGAAGATGTCCGTCTCCATATCAACAAGTGGTCGCCGCGGGTGCCTAGCTGTGTGGGCTATCCTATTTGGCAAGCGCCGAGTGGATACGAAAGGAGGGCAGAGCTAGTCCTTAAACCCTTTGAAGAAGAAGATCCTTGGGGAGGTAAGGATGTTCAGTAGATGATGCAGTTGGCGCTGGCCAGTTCGCATAGTCTAGTGGAAGACATAAGGACGATCGAGGAAGGACCAGGCCAGGTAGAACGGCATGAGGATCTGATGGGAGGAATATATCTCCTCGTCAACACGCTATAGCAGGAAAGCCTCGACCTGTCAGGCTCGTTGAACCCGATAGGGAATGTGGACGAAGTGCCCGAGAGCCAGGACGACGAGTTCGAGGAGGGGGAAATTAAGGAGGCCTTTCGCGCAAAAGAGTATGATGGAATTTACCTAGAGTTGGGGCTTCTCTTGTCTTGCGAGATGCGGCTAAGGGATGCAAGCGATAGGGCTCAGAGGATGTTGCAGCGCTACTTAGTGCGAGACGGTCAACTTTTCGTAAGAAGAGAAGTGAGAAATTCCAGGAGAGTCGTCTGAGGAACCGCCAGATTGACGTCGTAGCGGCACTTCATGATGGCATTGCAGGAGGGCATCGAGGGGTACAAGCCACGTATGCCAAAATAAGTGAGTTGTACTACTGGGATGGGATGATGGACATGGTCGGGAAATTCTGTTGATCCTGCGTACCCTGCCAAGAGAGATCCCGTTTAAGGCAAGGAGAGCCGCTGCATCCAAGGTTAGAGCGAGAGAGGGGGGTTGTAGTGCATCTCGATCTACTTTTTATGCCGCTTGGGGATCAGGGCTATAACTATATCTTCGATGCGCGCGATAACCTGTCTGGCTTCGTAGACGGGCGTGCTATTCGCACAAAGACCGGGTCAGTCCTAGTGAGCTGCATCGAGGAATATTCCCTGCGCTATCCTTTCGTCAGGGAATTCGTAATAGACAGGGGATCAGAGTTTACCTGCCAGGAGGTGCAAGAATTGTTATCAAGGTATGGTGTAGCAGCCAACTACACCACGGCCGCGCACCCCCAAGCAAACGCTCCGGTGGAAAGAGGGCACAGTACCATTACGAGTCTCCTGGCTAAGTGGACCGAAGGGAGACCTAATCAATGGCCAAGGTACCTAAGGGCGGCATTCTTTGTCGATAATATTAGAGTAAAAAGATCCACCAAGTACGCACCTGCGACGCTGTGGCATGGAAGACACGCCACCTTCCCTATCGAGATTTTTCTTAAAACTTGGAAGCGCCAGGATCTGGAAGTCGACCTGTCCTTTGAGGAATTGCTCGATATTCGGGCGCGACAGATAGGAGCGATAGAAGAAAGGATCCAGGAAGCGTCCGATCAAGTGGCTAGAAGTCGTATGGATGATAAGACTCAATGGGATCAGTCTGCTCGGGTGACGAAAATACCTCTGGCAGTTGGGGACGTCGTGCTTCTCTACGATTCATCGCTGGAAAAACAGTGGTCCACGAAACTTGATAAGAGGTGGTTAGGTCCCTACCGGATCGCACGAGTTGGAGACTTCAGGGCGTACCAGATTGAGGAGTTGAATGAGACTGAGTGGAAGGATTGGGTATCTGGAACGCGACTGAAGAAATTCGTGGTGAGAGAAGAGGTAAGAGAGATGACCTGAGTGCCTTTAGAATAGAAGTAACAGGGTGTGTAGGTCAGGTAGGATGTGTGCTGCATGAGTGTGGTCTGGTCTGGGCTTGCTTTGACTATCACCTGTTTGCTTACCCCAATGTGTGCCTGTTGTCTCCTTCGCCTGTTGTGCAGGTCTGACTTTACGAAGACAGCCATGCCAAGAGGAGGGAAGGGGACACGGCCGCCTCAGAGGCCGTTGGGAGCATCAGGAGGATATGAGCGGCATGGGCTTCGCCATCGAGAGAGTACTCCGGTGTATGATGATGGGGACATCGAGCTATTCCTGGACAGCTTCTGGGATCATGCGAGGCATATGGGCTGGACCGTGGCCCAGGCGATTGAGAGACTGAGGGGAGCAGGCAGATTCGAGGAGCCTGTCGCGCGGATCCGTAGGGAGGCGACGACGAGATCAGAGGTGGAGTGGAGGATGCAGGAGCTGCGACCCTCACCTGTGGGACCTGATGGCAGGCTGATCCGCCTGGAGATTGGAAATGCGTCAGACTTCATCCCCGCGTTTGAGTGGTTCATGCAGGGGCAGGGTATACCGGGAGATGATTGGATGCAGACGCTACCACTCTGGATCAGGAAGGCGGAAAGGCCACTGGCTAGCCAAGTCAGAAGCATGGCCCAAGACTGGGAGAGTTGCAGGGCACATCTGAGAGAGGCCTTTCGACGGCCAGAGCCCCCTCAGCCCAGAGTTGAGAGGCGTCAGAGGAGTCAGAGGCAGAGGGACCCTGAGCCAAGGGAGGCGAGACCATCTCGAGGAGGACGAAAGGCCCTAGCTAGGAGAGAGGAGGAGCCAGAGCCAGAGGCCGAGGAGCGAGGCGTGTACCCTGAGTGTGGGTTGGGACCAGTGGAGTTCCATCGTTTTGCCGAAGGTGAATTGAGGAGGTCGGCAGCACGCACACAGGAGGGGCCGCCAACGTCTGAGGAGCCTTTGAGGGAGTTGGAGGCGCACTTGGATATCTCTCAGTGGAGAGCGTCGCCTCAGGGTGAGGAGCGTGGAGAGCAGGCAGAGGAGGTGCCACGAGAGGAGGTGCCGCAGGAGGAGGTCCAGGACACTCAGCGAGAGAGAGGGTTGGACGATGAGGGAAAACGTGCAGGGAAGGAAGTGATAGAGGTTGGAGAAGACACGCCCCCTCAGACGCCAGTGGTGGGTTTGAGACTCGGGGATGCACCGGGGAACACTCGCCAGGTAGGGGAGGGGTTGCAGAGAGAGGAGGCCCCATTACCTTCATCAGAAAAGACTTCTTCGCTAGAAGAGAGAGCAGAAAGGAGGAGAGAGAGGGCAGCTGTAAGGAGAGAAGCCTTGACCCTGATTGACAGACACCTAGCAGCTCATGCCCTGGAGCACCCAGACCTGGAAGAGCCAACACCTGCAGAGCCGCGCCAGGAGTCGTGCCATCCCGAGAAGGAGATGGAGGCAGAGATCCCGAAGAGGGTTGACCTCCGCACGAGGGAAAGGGCACCAGCTGGAGAGACAGCAGAGGAAAAGAGGGCGAGAAGAACCAGGAGGATAGACGAGATATGACAAGAGTGGCAGAGGTTGAAAACAGCGGGGGAGCTTTCGGAGCAGCAGCAGAAAAGGCAGAGATCAGAGGCAGCAGGAGCACTCCCAGGTCAGCCACCCAGCGCGCCAGCTAGGGCCCCGGAGATCCCTGAGATGTGGAGGGACTTCTGGGAGCAGAGAGGATAGGAGCTTCCTTCGCCAGTCAGAGTCGGGCTTAGGGTGGGAAGGAAGGCAGAAGAAAGGTTGGATCGCAAAATCAAGTTCCTGGCCAAGGCAACTTTTGACCGGCACTTGCTATTGGAGAGCGATCTGGCAGGAAAGAAGATAAAGGAAGCAGGCCATGGGGTACGCCTAGAGGTTATGGAGATGGAAATCCAAGAACTCAGGGCATTGGTGTCCAGTCCGGCAGCTATCATCGAGAGCCTGAGGCAGCGATCTCCGGGAGAGGTGGACAAGCCAGAGAGCAACCGACAGGGAGAGCAGAGCCAACCAGGACATGGTTTGCCAGGACAACCATCTGCAGCAGAGACTAGCCAGGAGCCACCTATGGGGAGAGTCGTCCTAGAACCAGAGGAGGCGAGAGCTCAGAGGGAGGCAGAGAGAGAGGCCTTCAAGTTCAGAGCCCCTACTGAGCTCGCGACGCTACCTATAGCAGCTGCGGGCCTAGTCATACCTTTGGCAGATGAGGAGGGATTACCACCATCCAACAGTGAGCCGGCTCAGGGCTCGACAGAGGGATCTATGGATGTGCTCATTGAGGCGGTGCACTCGATGCAGGAGGAGGCGAGTTTGTTTTCACCCGAGCGGAGGATAGAGGAGCCTCTTGAGAGGGAAATGAGGATTGAGGCTGAGGGTGTCATCGAGGGCGGGCTCCAGAGGTTGGGCACGCCTGAGTATGGGCCAGAGGGGATTGAGGACTGACCTAGACTGAGTACCCAGGAGTTGGAGACACGAGAGGAGCCCTTGGATATGCCTCAGAGCCATGAGTTGAGCAGGGAGGCTAGCGAAGCACCATCGTCGCCAGGGTCTCAGAGAGGAAAGAAGAGGTCCAGGAAGTGGTTCGATACGTCCTGTTTCTTCTTTACAAAGGAGGGGCATCGAGCCTTGCAGTGTCCTAAGTTCCTGAAGGACAAGGCTGAAGGGAAGGTAACAGAGGAAGGGGGTAGGATGTATGATAGACAGGGCAGGAGAGTAGAGAGATCTGCAGATGGGGGTAGGGCTCAGCTATATAGGCAAAACCAGGAGAAGATGAGCGACTAGGACTGAGTTTTCCTGTATGGTTGACATGTTACGTGTAAGACTAGAGATAGGATTGGATGACATTCTGTAGACCTAGGTGTTGTTTGCTTTTGATAGGCAATTTGGGTTGGGTTCTTGTTGAGTCTGCCATCTTGAGGATCGGGACATAGTAGATGAGGCCTGTACATACTTAGGTGGCCTACGCCCTGATCTTCGAGAGACAGACCCAACTTGTGCTTTGAGGACGGCATCAGTGTGAGTGTGGTTTTGAGTGAGTTGAGTGGGTTACGATCTCGGGACTTTTGTATATGGGGCATTCTTCCCCTGAGTGTATATTGGAGGCATTTCGTGTGGGACATTTTACCCTTGAGTGTACATTATATCGAGACCTGTTTTTTTTGGGGACTACTTGTTGTATATGACGATTACTCTCACACTCACCTGTGTGGTCCTGGTTTGATGGATGATGGTTTGGTATGAAATATGCTCGAAAAAATGCTTGATGTGCTTTGTATTTTGTGAATCTGGACGAAAGTGAACTGTCTACTCGGCGGTATACTCGTGCGGCCTGCCCTTGGGCGGATGAGAGAGCCGAGTCTAAGGCAAGGAAGCACAGTCCGTTTTGTGAAAGGATGTGAGGATCCTGAATATTTGTTTGGTGAGTGTTCTATTGTTGAGCTATGCAGAAGACCCACAAATTGGTCTTTTTTATGGAGTATATGATGAGTGGGACACCTGTGAATAGAAAGGTTGTCCATTATCTATTTGGAAGACACATCTTCAGAGAGGGAAGATGCGTTAAAGAAAAGGTCGCGAGAGAGGTCATCCAAGTGAGAGAGGGATGACTGAGAGACCTAATAAAGTGAGACCTCCTCTATAAATAAGGTGGTTAATAAGATTGATTAATGGAAGTTTGACTTTGAGTAATAAAAGACTGACGAGAGGGACCAAATTTTTGTTGGACTATTGGTGAATTTCTTGGATGTCGCAAATGGTGTGTTTTAAGAGACGTCATCAAGATGCGTGACTTTCTTGCTCTGATCAAGTTGGGAGGCCACAGCCTTGTGGATCAGATGGTGATTTTGTTTTGTGATTGTGGAGAGGTTGTCGTGATCCCTCTGTGTTGTCCCACAAAGGAACTGGTAAATACCTTTTTATGTGCGACAGGTCTATGCGTAGTCCCGCAGTAGGCTTGTATTGTTGCGACACACCGTCTGACCGCTTGTGCTAATCTTGGACATTTATAAGAGATCCAGCTAACTAGCATCACTAAGGCTCAACCCTTAGTGTTGGCCGCTGTTTGGCACAACCTGAGCAGAGAGTCTGCGTCTGGCCAAGGGAGTAAAAACTTAAAGGGGCGTGAACGCCTAGGAGGGTTTTACTCCTGCGGAGAGGCGTGGGATAAGAGTCGAGTCATATGAGTCTTTTGAGGAAGTCCTAATTGAATGCTTATCAGGAACAACCTATCGTGGCGCAACCCGCAAAGGCACTACCGTTGAAATAACAATGCGGTGGGCCGTAGATCTGGAATGATCACCCAGATTATGGTGGGCCAAGATGGAGACGTGGTCTTCCTGTACTAGACTGCAGGAGAGCTTATGTGAGAATCTATGTAGTACGACTACGTGTGTTAATGTGAAGATTTTTTGAGAGGAAGGCGAAAGAATGCCTTCAAAGGTCTTGGTTAGGGCCCGCGCCCCTAGTCACGACTTAATTTCAAGGGAAAGGGCTAGGGGCACACAACGAGAAGCCGGCGGCTATCTAGGGCACAGGGAAGAGGACAGTGAGAGATCCAATGCAACTTATGTTGTAGTACAATGAGGAGTATCCTGACGTTCGAGTGTCAGGGCGACGGAGACCCAGGTTAGAAATCTGGCAGCATAAAGTTGTGTTTGGCATGAATTATTGGAGGCCTCAACCCTGGGTTGTCGGCTGATCGGATTGGTACCCTGCTCGCCAGCATTTTGGGATTGTGATTGAATTGATAGCTTTTGATCCTGCGAAGCGGCGAGGACGTCGCTTAATATGGTCCGATAAGTTGTCGGTGCGAATACCCTTACAAGGGTATCCGCCCTGGTCTTTGCAAACAACAGAAAGGAGTTTGGTTTAAAGTTTAAGTATGTCGCGTTAGGCGCGACTGCGTTCGTAATTTATGTTGACTAGATGGTTGACGTGATTAAAAGAGTGCGTGGGCGCGCAAGCTTGAGGCGCGCGTGATTTTCCCTTCCTTTGGTTACACTAGAAGACGTGGCGCGGACATCGGTCGGCGCGCTCCATTATAACAATTGTTTTGTTTCGACCAAGCTGACTAACCTATGGGCGCTTTTCTCTGGTTCCGCGTGGAACGATGGACGGGTCAGTGAGCGAGTGTGGCCTTACGCGGCATCCAAATGATGGGACCTGATGGATTCGGCCGGGTAAGGGTAGCCGCAGCACAGCCAGGAGGTTGGCGCGGCTTTGTATGGTCATATGTGTGAGTGCGGGTCAGGGAATGGCGTGGAGCGGCTCCTTTGACCGCAAAAGGTCGGGGCTACCTCTTTATTAGGTGACTCAGGCCTGTTGGTATCAGGCTTGGGCTTAGCCCTATAGGTTACAACACGAGACTGATACGCAGCAAACGCAGGGATCGAGGCCAACGGCATGCGACAAGGGAGCAGAGGAGCGGGGCGAAAAGGCTTGAGGGGTTGATGGGCTTGAAGAGCTATCCCCCTCGCCTTTCGCTATCGCGGGGCCAAGCGTGGGGCTGACGGGCAGGGAAGGAGGGGTGACGTGGTCCCTGTCAGGTTACCGCCCGCTTTTTATTTTTTATTTTTTTATTTTTTATTACTAGGTATTGCGCCTGTATGTGGACGCAAAGATACAACAGGAGCACGCCATTGGATTGTTGAAAAACAGATCTCAGTTCGGAGTCAGATGGAGGAATCCGATGAGTAAGGCTGAATAATCCGAATTGCCGGCGGCCGGTCGTCCCCGCGGCCCCGGTTGTGTCCTTCGAGGGCATCTATAAAAATTGGAACGGTACAGCGAAGATTAGCTTGACCGTTGGTTTGGAAGGGGAACCTGGACGGAAAAAGGGGGGCGGATACAGGCGAAGAGGCAGAGAAAAGGGGCGAGGTCCGAGTGGCCTTTGGAGGTGCCGCGAGGCGCCGACCGCTAGATGGAAAGTCCTTCGGGACATCCGTTAAAATTTGGAGCAATACAGAGAAAGACTAGCGTGGCCCCCTGCGCAGTGCCGACACGTATAAAGATCGCGTGATGGTCCGAACACCCGTGGTTGTCATAATTTTTTTTTATGAGCACGTCCTCCTCTTTGAAATAGCGTTTTGAACGCGCGGATGAGGGATAGCGCTGCGAGGCGGTGGTCGCGCTGTGACAGGAGGAGACGAGGGAGGAAGAAAGCGCGGTGAGGAAAGTGGACGATTGAGCATCTTCAATCGGCCGCTGACCGGCGCGGTACCAGTCGCAGAGGGACCCGAAGGAAGAGAGTGACGGAGTGGGTGCAACGGGCAGCGGGGGTTGACAGAGGGAGATGAACCTGACCCGGGTCGCCACCCGGGTGCATTCGGGAGGGATGAACGACGCAGAGGGCAGACGACGAGCGGGTGGGCACTGAGAGCGGAAGTTGGGTCTAGATAAGGGGAGGAGCCAGGCGCAGCGCTAGTGACAAGAAGGGAAGGCAAGGAGGCTGGCGGGCAACGCAGTATAGCAAAAGCAAGTGAACCTGGCCGAGGACCCGAGCCAGGTGCATGCACGTTAGAAGACTGAAGGTGACGGGGAGGTAGGTGAGGCGCAGTGGAAAAAGGACGACTT